AATTAAAAAAAGAAATACAATAAAGCAGGTAAAAGGGGTGGAACCCCTTCCCTCGTGCCTAATGTGCTTAAAATAGGGTGAGGCCGACTCTACCCTAGGTCATTCTACTATGGATGCATGAGGCTGGGGTTCACTAATGCCTAAACTCGATAAAGCTTCGGCTCCCAAGCCTTCAGACCTAAAGGCGAAGGGTCATCACTCCCAGGGCCTTCGGTCGGTGGCTCAAGTGATCCCTTAGGTAGCGCTATGGGCGCAGAGCACACCAGCCGCCTACCCAAGGCAATCGATCCTAATCCTACAAGGCGGTGTGGGATGGCGCCCACGAAAAATAAAATAAAATGGGATAAAGCAAGTAAACGTGCACGTATGAAGTGTTCCCCTATTTTGAGGGAAGGGGTTGAGAACCACGCGAGGCTCTAAAGGTGACACACCCCTCCCCAAATGCAATGCAAGCGCGAGATAACAAGTAAACATTCATTCAAACATACATTCATGAGTCGAGGGATTGGTTTGATTACGTGTATAAGACAAAAGGTCCTAAAAATGAAAAATGCAATCCTAATATCCACATGCTATGCATAGAAAGGGTAGAAAAAGGAAACGAATGGTTAAGTCAAAATGCTTGGACCCACTTAGGAAGTCCCCAGTGGAGTCGCCAACTGTCGCGCCCCACTTTTCGATAATGTGTGAATGTGTGTGAGTGAATTGTGATGTGTGAGTGATGTGAACGTGTGCAAAATGAAAAGTAAAAAGGCCATGGGACTTTGGAAAGCGACGATTTGGCCAAATGAAATTTTAAAAAGGGTTTTTTTAAGTATGAAAACGGAGTCGCCACTTGGTATAGATTTGGGGTGTACCAAGTCACCCAAAAAGTGTTTTTTAAAGACAAAGTAGTAAAACTCTTTTTAAAACGACTCCTAGTCCACGTAAGCCAAAGAAAAAGGTTCGGGGGTCACGTTTGACAAAGGGGAAGGCAAGGATAGAATCCAAGGCACCCCTTTGACCTAGCCAAGGCTAGTTGCGCGACTTAACCTTACCTTTCCTAATTTTCTACCCAATATATGTTCGCACGTTGGACATGACTATATGAATGCAAAAACCTAGACCTAGGGGGATCGGGGGAAATTTCTCTTCAAAGGTCGAGTGGTGCCAATCACATTAATTGTGAAGCCCAATAATGATCCTTTTGGAGAGGTCACGAATAATGCAGGTGGAATGCTCAAACAAGGAAAGAAAATATGAGAGGTGTGCAAATGAAGGCAAAAGTGCTCGTGTGCAAGTAAAGGGATAAAAAAATGCATATGTGCAAATGAGACAAAGTGTTCGTGTGCAAGTGAAGGGATAAAAAAGGTGTACGTGTGCAAATGGGAGGAGAAGTGTTCGTGTGCAAGTGAAGGGATAAAGGTGTACGTGTGCAAATGAGAGGAAAAGTGAAAGTGTAATGATAGAGTGGATGCATGAACCTAGGGAATTCATGCATATTGGATACGGGGAGACCTAAATCGTGACTCAATTTGCCCTTTTATAGAGGGAATACAAGCATGCTAAGGCTTAGAAAAAAGCCACACTTGTCTATATCCCATATTTAAGGGGACTCTCACGCAAATGTACCCTAACTAGCATGAGATGCAAAAAATCCTAAAATGAGGGAAAAGGGGCTCGAGGAGCATGCCAAATGATAAAACTAAGAAAAATGCATGACATGTAGTGAACATGCAAATATGCACTAACAAAAAGGGATGGCCTAATGAGCCACAACTAGCATTGGACTAGTGTGGTGGCGTACATTCATCCATTCCATTCATTCATGGTTATGAAAGCAAGTAGACATGCCAAAACGCTCGTAAACACGTAGCACGTAGCACTTAGCATGCTCGACTAGATGCAAGAGCCTACTAAAGCAATTAAACATGTAGCAACAAAAACAAGCAACCAAGGGGAAGGGGAAATGGACCAGATGCTTTCCGAGCGCTATCTATTACAAGCCAAGAGGTGTACACATACCCCATAAAAGCATAAAAGGGAAAGGGTGAATGGACCAGATGCTCTCCGAGCACTATCTATTACAAGCCAAGAGGTGTACACATACCCCATAAAAGCATAAAAGGGAAAGGGTGAATGGACCAGATGCTCTCCGAGCACTATCTATTACAAGCCAAGAGGTGTACACATACCCCATAAAACTTAAATAGAAGTAAAAGCAAGTAAATGCACGCAAAGAGGTAAGGAAAGCGGAGTAGGCATGCGTATTCACATAACACGTAGGAGCACGTAGGGTCAAATGAAGTGCAAATGAAGGATAGAGTGTACCTCCCTTGAAGCGACGCCCTAACGTAGTGAAATTACTAACTTACCCTCCAAAATAATAAAAGGGTCAAGGTACCACTTTATTTAAAAAAAATTAAAAGAAATGTGCAAAACAAAGTTCATTTGATCATAAAGTTCCTAAAGTCATGACTTAAGCGCAATTGAAACAAAGCATGGTAGTTAATTGAAGCAAACAAACAATGAAGTTGCACAAATTAAAATTACCAAGGACCAAATTGATGAAATTATTTAATTGATTGGGTCCTAATGCCTTTAGTTAGAAGCCAAGGGGTTGATCTGCAATTTTCCAGGTTTATTTCTTCATGCAAAGCATGCAATCACGTAGGAAAATTTTCTGCAATGAGATCAATAAGACTGCTGCATTCTTTGCTTCCCTTTCCAATATCGTGATTCAGATTTAGCCAAAACTTTTCTTGATCTAACATTCCAAACTTCAAACCAAACAACAAAGCATAAACTTGGCAGTCAAACAACCCAAAAACATAGGGAAAGATCATGCAAACATTCTGGAAAAATACACAAGAATGATTCGGCACTTTGAAGATTTCTGCATTTGAAGCTTTCTGCAAATTTTCCAGCCATGTCTCCTGCCATTCTTATGTTCATTTTAATGCCATTTTCATCCAGACCAAATTAGTATTTTTATCCTAACATCAAATGCCTTGATTCCAAAACAGCAAAACACAACAATCAACGCCCAAAACCAGCCGAAGGAGAAAAAGAAAAACGGATAAATGGAAGCATACAATGTTCTGAAAAATTTTCTGGTATTGCTTCTATCCATTCTATCATGCAAATAAGTTCATGAAACAGCAAGTTTCTACTCATTCATCCTCAATTAAACACGCAACTTCACTGAAGGGTTGGCACAAAGAAATAGAGTTGACCATTAGGGGGGGGAAAAAACTAACAGCCGTAGAAGGAACGAAAATGCAGCAAAACCTTTTGTAATTCGGCACTTTGCAAGAATCAGTCTCCATGCTCAATCAAAACTAAATACAACTATGCAAACCTCTTACTTTACATCATGAAAACTTTCAGATTTAGACACCAAAAGCCGGGCAACAAGCATGCAAAATCCAAATGATTCAAGCAACTTCAAGCAAAGTTTACAAATTTTCTGCAACATTGAAATCTTATGTAATGCGGTCCTCCTTTCAAAAGGCAACAATTAGCATTCCAAGCAAAACAAAAGACAGACTGGAATCAAAATATCAAACACCAGACTTGCCATTCATTTTCAATACAAAGACTCAAAATAAACATGCAAATCTGGAAGTAAAAAAACGCAACTTCCCACTATATTATCCAAGACATACATAGCCAACAAAATTTGCAGCCAGCGGCAACCTCTTCGAACCCAAAACAAATACGATCTTATGCATCCTATCATCAAAAATCCAGCCATAAATCATGCATCTCCCAGAAATTTCCAACCCAGATTGTGCATAAAAATCACCAAAAGAAAACAGCCATGAACACTAGAAACGAACACAGCTAAACGCAAATCCCTTCTCCTCCAAGAACAAACCAGATTCACGGATAGAAACTCGCATGAAGAATGCAATCCAGTGCAAAGACTAAGACTTTCAGCATACAAACATAACTCAGCAACTTACAAACAAATCCAAAGTAAAAAAAATGTTACCTTTAAACCTTGACCGAAAGCTTGATGTATTCCAGAAGACGAAATCTTTGCTTCTTCGTCTCTCCCGCAGATGCGCTTCCTGATTCTTTGCCTTGCTTCAACGAATCCAAAACCTTCTTGCTGCCCAAAGTTTCCTGAACCAACACCTCTAAAACTCACTGCTTTTCTCTTAATCCGCCGTAAATCTTCCTCACTCTTTTATCACTCTTTCTCAGTCGCTGATTTTCTGCTTTCTTCAGCCGCACACTCTCTGTCTTTTCCCTTCTAGCTTTCTCTCTTTGTTTTTCTAAGTTTCGGCTGTCACCTCTCTCTCGTATGTCCTCCACCCAGAATTTTCTCTAGCCTTCAACCTTCTTAAACCCCAGCCGTTAGTCCTTTCCCCCAAAACTCTATCTTTTCGCTGCCTTTCCTTTTTCTTCTTTTGGTTTAGCCAGAAACCCTCGCTCCTGCGGCTGCTGCTGCATCTTCTATTTATATGGGGCCACCCCAACCCTAAAACTCCCATTGTCTCCTCTAAAATTGCAGCCAAGGGCTGCCCGAGCCCTTACTTGCAAGCTGCGTAAAAACGCAGCTTGCCATCGCGTATTCCCCTTTTTTTTTTTAAGTAATTAACATTGATAATAGTAAAAACAAATAACAAAAACAATTTAATTAACATTGGATGAAAAATAAACTAGAAACGAGAAAGTGCAAATTCCAATTCATCATCTTTTCATTTTCCATTTTTCCTTTTTCCTTTAAATAATGAAACTAAATCCTAAACAACTAAAACATATTTTTTTTGAACACTTTTCTTTTCCCTTTGAGAAATTCTAGCTAAAATGGATAAAATAACTAAAACTAAAAGTAAATACAAATAAAAATAGAACAAATAAAAACGAATAGTAAATAAATAAATAAATAATAAAACACCAAAAATTTGGTGTCTACACAGCTCGAGTCCGAACTCAACTCAACTCGAGTTCGGTCAACATCGATCTCGAGTCGAGTTCAAGTTGACCAAGTCGAATTCGAGTTTAAAAATACTAAACTCGTTAGTTCGCGAACTAACTCGAATTCAATTATATATATATATATAAATATATTATTTTACTAATAAAGTTACATATATATTCCTCATATTTTATTATTTGTTAAGAAAAATTATTATTTTATTTATTTTTAAAAATAAAATAATTATTATTTTTTATTTTTTTAAGCTCGAACTTTATATTTTGAACTCGTTGAACTCGAGTTCTAGATTCGTAAATCTAGGTTGAGACTCGGTTCGATTATGTCAAAACTTGACTCGATTCGACTCGTTTGCACCCCTATTCTGAACTAACCCCCACAACGCAAAAATAATAATAAAAAAAAACCTTCAACAGTCAAAATGGTTTTTTGTGTGTATATGCATACATATTTGAAGTGTTTATGGTCAACAAAATGTTTAAGGTAATTAAAATAGTGCTCATAGAAATGTGGACGGAGAATATTATAATAATCAACAAAATAGTTCTTGACAAGGGAAATGGAAAATTACCAGAATCAAAGACTCCAACAATAACATCTTTCCCATAGTTTGCTCTCTTCAGTAATGCATCCCCGCTTACACGACTAGGATCACCATTTGCTTCGAGTAAGTATGTGAAATCCCATGATCTTGTTGTTTGAGGCCTTAATTCCCTTGCCTGGCTACGAAAAACTGAAATCACTCCATCCATCTCTGTTGATAGCAACAATAGCTTGCATTAAGTACAAGAGTACAATGATATTCGTATGTGTCTGTGTGTGCATGTGTAATTTTCTTTTTTTTTTTGGGAGTTATTTTCCTCCTGCATGCGGAAAGATTGTGAGAAAGCACTCTATTTGGTGAGAGTTGCAATATTTTACTGTTAAACCAATTGCCAGCCAATTTTATATGAAGAGCAAATTGCATATATACTCGATAAATTATTCGGGTTATCTTGCTTTAATTTAGTCACTGAAATTTTTTATTTAGCCAAAATGATCATTTAATCAATTAAATAGTACATTTTTTGCCACTCAACTCATGAAAACATGCACTTTTGCTCACTCAACTAATGAAAAAGTACACTTGTTGGTCACAAAATGTATCTTTGTACTAGTTGAATAACTAATTTGGCTAAATAAAGAGTTGATAACCAAAACAAAGGATTTCAAATAAATTAATGGCAATTTCCGCCGTTTGATCTTATATGAATTCGAGGTTCTTTTTTTTTTTTTTTAAAGTTTCCGATTGTGCAGATAGCCATTGTTATTCACTAATTACTACTATAAGTTAACTAATAAGAAATCACAGTAATAAGTGAAACACACTATATAATATTGTACCATAAGAATTTCGAAAGTTTGATCGGTGACTAAGAATTCGGAAACTTATTCTCAATATATATATATATATATATTCAAACTGTTTTATCAAACATTGTATATTGGATATTCTTTAGTTTTATCGATTTTCATTTTATTGAAATTCAAAATCCAATCTAGATTGGATCGATCGATTTTTCGATGGTTTCTAACTTTGAACACCCCTAACCATTACTATTTCATGTCCTCATTATTATTATTATAGAGTTGTATGTATGCATTGCTGTCATATCTTTTTGACAAGAAGTTCGTAAACAACACTTAAATTAACTTCACAAGATACAACCAAAAGGCAATTGCTTCGTTACTGTCATATCTGAAGACAAGGAAAACCTCACTTCGAACTGACCAATGCATTGCAGGACTTGTAATCCGTGGCGATTTACCAAGCGTATGCTTGACTAACCTGATAATTTAGAGGCTTCTTCTGGCGTAAGCAATGCGGAGAATCCATTGATTACGTTCTTATAGCTATAAATATGGGAGGCTTTAGCCTCTTCTTGTGAACCCTTTACGGAACGAAGATAGGAGTGATGCTGATCCTCTATTTCTTCAGGATTTCTGTTTCCACTGTGCTCTCCGAGGTACGCTACGTAGACCTGCAAGGGAATAATCAGTACAGTGATTTTTTTTTTTTTCTGAACTGACAATCAAAATTAGTAACACACGGATTACAGAAATGGGACATATATAGCAACCTTCCGTTCTTCACATAAGACTTTCACATGAAAAACAAGAAGAAAGCATAACGCAACTAAACAACTCTTCATTTTTAGCTTCTTGTGTTCTGACAGTTAGTTCCTGGCTGTATAACTTCACTACTGAACACCGCCATTATATAGAGACGAGTATATGACCAATAGGCAGTGCGGTCTTGATTAACTTGTAATACCCGACATATTTCCCCCCCAAAAAAAAAACATATATCAATAACACATAATGTTTGTTTTTGTTCAGTACTATCTAGCGGATAAGTGACTGTTTTGCGTTATATTTGAATGATATTTTATATTACTTTTAATCACTTTTGTAATGTTATAAGAAAAAAAATGGTCTATTTTGGCTAAATTGGTTCTAAATGCTACTTAGTACTTAAATGAGATTTTTGTCCTTTTTACTCACATGTTTTAATTGTTTTTTGTAGGAGTTAGAAATGAACTTTGTCTTGGATAAGAAATATGCTTGCAATATGTTGATTGAAGTCCGAAAATTCACAAAGTTGACAAGTTTCAAAAGTAGTTCGAGTCACATCAGTAAAAAATTGGAGAAACTTGTCGATTAAAAGAGTTAGGCTGAATCTCTCCAAGAATCCCTGGCCGGATTCTGGATGGGATTCAAGACAGAATGTTAGTTCTTTGGAACAATAAAATGGTAGCTAAAATACTTCTTTTTAACAATATCAGGGCTATGGACTCCATGCGTCGATCACACCATAACTGCTTTTCTGATTGCATAATGCTTCATTTTCTCGCTTTAAGAATTCTTATGGATTGGCCAGTTCATGTCACAAGGAAGAAGGACTACATTTAAAATTGGGGATGGTACGGGTAACCGCCTTAACAGATTATTTTTTATAACTATATAACAAATATTTTTTGCCAACTCAAACAAGATAAGAAATAGCCGACTAATTTCTATTTTCACGGTTTGGATCGGCAATTTTTAGAAATTTTTTTCTATCATTTACTGAACACACGTTTTCTGATTATCTTTTTATTTTACATGCATCACGTTACAACACATATGCTATATTGGATAAATAAAATTTGTTCAATTAGTCTTCATTCCATATGAATTTATTCAATTGAGGATTTAGAAGCGGGAATGAGTAGGAATTTGAAGCCGAAGCACTCAAGCAAGTAGACCTTTACTTTAGAATTTGAGGTTATTCCTCCAATTGGTTTATTCTAAATAATTCTAATATTAGCTTAAGAAAAAAAAAATTTTGGTGTACTCGTTTTTTTTCTCAAATGAGTTTTAATCCAAAACAAAAGAGTGCTCGAGTAGGTGGCTATATTCTACCCAACTTCTGCTAATGGAGGAATTAATGGAGCTATTGTTGGTATGGTTAGATATCTCTACATACTCGTAGACTGGTTTTCCGTGTACTGTGGAGTATTGGAGGACTTAATGCTTGAATACGGACCTCGTTTTAGCCTTCTTCTGTGATAGAATAGGGAGATCTTGATGTAAAATGTTATGCGAACTCCAAGAAAAAATACTTTAATTTATTTGCTGCTCAAAGAAAATAAAAGATAAAAAATTGACCCCTATTCATTTTACTTTTAAACAACATTTAGATTATGCTCCTTTTAATTGATTAAATCCATCAAAATATTACTATGTTTATATGCTCTCCATCAAAGTAGTAACAATAATGGAAATAAGCTTTTAGTTATTAAAAAATAAATCATTGATCAACAAAGTTATTTCTCTTCACTTTTAATAATGTGGCCTAACTCAATTATACCCATTGCCTAATTCAAGCTTAGGCATTTGTACTTCAGTCATTTGTAGTTTAATTACTACATTGGGGCTATAGAAATTACAAAACTAACAATAAATGTGACAGCAATGTGGGGTTTTTGATACTAAGTAATTGTCAATGTATATTTATTGCACCTTTAAAAAGTTTCTATTAATGTACTAAAACCAAACTAGTATTCTAACCCCTGCTAATGCACGGGATTTTTTGTTTCTTATTTTTGTTTTGATTAGTTATTGAACTTGGACAAGCATAAGTAATAAAAACATATTCTTACTTTTTAATTAATATTTATTTTATAATATTAGTATATTTTGTTTTATCAAGAACATATATTCTATTTCTAGCAATGGTAATAAATTTTTTATGTAACAATTAAAATTTGATGGACCCAAATCGATAAATACACAAAACCCCCAGGAACAATCAAGAAAAAAATGATATTGAGACAAAGGGAAATTTTCTATTAATCAAGCAAGACTCTGGCTACACCATTACAAAACACAACGGAGGTTACTACTTCTTCTTAAGGCTAAGAGACGGACGCAGGGGCTATATATCAATATCCCTTGGCGGCTAACCTCTATCACTAACGCTACTGGTCATAAGAGATTCAATCCCATGTGACAACCCTGCCAACCAACAATACTACTACCGATCCACTAATGCCACATGGCAACATAAATAAATAATAAAGGTTTGGTTTGCATTTCTACATTGTCTCCCTTAAATCAACCTCCTCTAACCTAGACATACCCAACATCTTCTTCAACTTGATAAAAGTCTCCGTTTTCAATGTTTTGGTGAAAATGTCAGCCACTTGCTCTTTAGTTCTGCAATAATCAACTTCAATCTCCTTCTCTCGAACCAACTCACGTATGAAGTGACATTTGATGTCAATATGTTTGCTACGTCCATGGAGTACTGGATTCTTGGATAACTCAATCGCCGACTTAATATCACAATAAATTTTCGTAAAATAAACCTACTTGTGTCGTAGAATACCAAGTGTGTGACGTAACCACAAAACTTGAGTAGCACTGTTAGCTGCTGCAATATACTTCGCCTACGCTGTAGATAATGCAATCACCTGTTGCTTCTTCGAACTCCAAGAAAACACGCCAAAACCAATAAAAAATGCATAATCAGAAGTACTCTTCCTCGCTACTGTATCACCTGTCTAATCACTATCTGTGTAGCCAAACAATTCAACTGAATTATTTCCTGAATAAAAAAATGTTATCACTACTAGTACCTCCAATATATCTCAAAATCCTCTTAGCCACTTACAAAAGTGACTGACGTGGATTTTTCATGAACTTGCTTATCAAACCAACAGCAAAATTGAGATCTGACCTCGTAGACGTCAAATATCACAAACTCCCTATCTAACTTTTAAAATAGATAGGATTTACATATCCACAAGCACCCTCCTTGATCAACCTCAATTTTTCTTCCACTGACGTCATAATCGGTTTCGCTGTATCCATTTTGAACTTCTTTAAAATGTCACTTGCATATTTCTTTTGAGATATAAAAATCTCACTGTCAGACTAAAAGACTTCAATTTCCAAGAAATATGACATGAATCCCATATCTTTCATCTCAAACTATTTAATCATGGCCTCCCTGAATTCAGCAATCATCTTTGAATTATTTCCTGTAAAAATTAAATCATCTACGTACAGGCACACAATAAGAATATCACCACGGGTAGAAGATTTAATACATAAAGTGTACTTATATGGGCACCTCTGAAAATCACGAGGCAGAAAATAGGAATCAATCCTTGTGTACCACGCTTTTGGAGGTTGTTTCAATCCATATAAGGCTCTCTTCGATCTATACACCTTATTTTTCTGACCTCTTCTAACAAATCTTACTGGCTGCTCCACATACACTTCTTTATTAAGAACTCCATTCAGGAAAGTTGACTTGACATCCATTTGATAAATTCTCTAGTTATTTTGAATAATTAGAGAAATTATCATACGGACTGTGTCAAGCCAAGCAACTGGTGCAAACACTTCAAAATAGTCAATCCCAGGTTTCTACTTATATCCCTTCACCACTAATCTGGTCTTGTATCTATTAACTTCTCCACTAGGTTTAAATTTTATCTTATATATCCACTCACTCCAATAGCTTTTTTACCAGTTGGTAGAGAAATAAGCTCCCAAGTATCATTGTTCTCTATTGCACGAATTTCTTCCTCTATTGCTTTCATCCAACGATCATCACGGTCTGCCTCCTCATACATAACTGGATCACAATTTGCAAACAAACCATAATTAACAATATTTTCATCATAAGGAACATTATCTGGTGTAATAATATAATCCTGCAGATGAGCTAGCATCTGTTGCTGATGTTGTGGATGTCCAATTAACTTAGTCTATAGATCCTGAGCAACTGGTGATGGCTGAATATCATAATTATCTTTTTCTTGCTCATAATTGAGAGTCACTTCTGCTGTTTCAAGATTTTCAATAGACCAATCTCAAAGGCCTTTCTCGTTAAAAGTCATATTTCTATTTACTATCACTTTTCTTGTCATAAGATTATATAACTTGTAAACCTGAAAAACTTCACTGTAACCAATAAATACACACTCCTCCCTTTTATCATCAATTTTTTTTTTCTTAATTGATCAGGAACATGAGAATAGGCAGTGCACCCAAAAACTTTGAGATAGCCAATAAATGGTCTTCTATCACTCCAAACTTTTTCAGAAATTTTTTTGGGAACACTTCTGATAGGACACCTATTCAACAAATACATTGCACATGAAACTGCCTCTGCCCAAAAAGATTTTAGCATATTTTTCAACTTTAACATACATCTTATCATTGTATAACTGTCCTATTCTTTCTCACCACTCCATTTTGTTATGGAGTGTACTTGGTAGTCAACTGATGTTGTATTTCATTTTTTTCAAGAAAGTCATCACAAACCAAATATTTTTGACCCCTATCTGTTCTCAAAATTTTAATCTGACAGTCACTTTGCCTCTTAACAAAAGTTTTAAAAGTGTCACAGGTATCAAATTTCTGTTTCAAAAAATACACTCAAACTTTTCTACTAAAATCACTAATAAAAGTAATAAAATACCTGCAACCACCATTAAAAAGAACCTCCACAGTTCACAAATCTGAATGAATAATTTTTAATAGTTTCTAACCCTCCATGATTTGCCAGTTTGAAAAGTATCCCTATCTTGTTTTCTCAAAATACACATATCACAGACTCTATCAGGATTTCTACTGCCCAAAAATTTTAAATTGTCAAAATTCAAATGATCAAATTGCATATGCCACAACCAATTA